TGTTTCCTAGAGCTTCTCTTGATGTTTGCGTCTAGTTTCATTCCATTCTAATCTGGTCAGAAAAAGATTATTTTAATTTTTAAAATTTACTGAGATTAGCTTAATCTGATTATCATTTAGTCTGATTTATTTTGGAAAGAGTTCCAAAACCTCCAATCTCATTCTACAAAGAAAGTATTATCTCACTACCAAAGCCTGATAAGGATACAACTAAGAAAACTATAGACCAATATACTTGATGAACATAGATATGATGAAAATAATACCTATTCTGCAGCTTTGGGGTTGAGAATTCTGTAGATGTCTATTAAGGCCATTTGATATATAGTGTAACTTAATTCTGATGTTGTCTTTGTTGATATTTTTTTTTATGGATGACCTAGTTATTTGTGAGAGTCAGGTATGGAAGCTCCCCACTATTATCAAATTGGTATCTATCTCTCCTTTTATGCCCAGTAGTGTGTGTTTTATTAAATTAGGTGCCCTAATTTTTGGTACATATATATTTATAATCATTATATCTTCTTGATGTATTATTCCTTTGACTAATATAAAATGATCTTCTTTGTCTCTTTTTATTGATTTTGAATTGAAGTCTGCTTGCTTTCAGATTCCATTGCTCAGAATATCAATTTCCATTTTTCACTTTTAGGCTGTTTATGTCTTTGGCCAATCTGTATACATCTTTGGTAAATTTCTTGTGGGTAGCAACTGTTGGCTCTAGTTTTTAATCTACCCAGTCAATCTATATCTTTTAATTTTGTAAAATGATAAGCATTTGCATTCAGGGTTATTATTGGAAGATTTATACTAGTTCTTTTTATTTTATTGTTTTCTTTTGGTTGTTTTAATTAATCTGTGTTTATTTTTCTTTACTCATAGGTTTAGTAGTTCATTGAATGTATGTATGTGTGTATGTATATATGAATATATATATAAATATATATATATATATATATATATATATATATATATATATATATATAACTTTTTTATACCAGGGATTGAACTCAGGGTCCTTCAACGACTGAGCCACATCCCCAGCCCTATTTTGTATTTGATTTAGAGACAGGGTCTCACTGAGTTGCTTAGTGCCTCACTGTTACTGAGGCTGGCTTTGAACTCAAGAACCTCCTGCCTCAGCCTCCCAAACTGCTGGGATTACAGGTGTGTACCATCATGCCCAGACTGAATTAATATCTTTTATTCTTTCCTAATTCTTATTTGCATATCTACTCTTCTAGTGACTTTTATTCTTTCCCATGCTCTCATGATTGTGTTTATCTAGCTTCCCTGAGTGTAGGATTCCTTTTATTATCATCTCTAATGCGAACTTGGTAGTCATGAATTCTTTTAGTCTATACTTATTTTGAATGATCTTTACTTCTCCTTCAATTCTGAAGAAAAATTTTGCCAGACATAGTAAACTAGATATACACTCCTGCAGTTGTTTTCTTTCAGTGCTTGAAATGCATCGTTGCATGTCCTGCTAGCCTTTCGAGTTTCTGTTGAGAAATCTGTAGTTTTTCTAATGGGTTTGCTTTTATATATGACTTGACAGCTCTGTCCTGGAGCTTTTAATATTCTTTCTTTTATACTTTCAATCAGTTTAACTACAAATGTCACAGAGAGATTCTTTTCTGGTTGTATCTATTTGGGGTTCTAAATGCTCCTTCTAACTGGATATCTATATCTTTCCTAATATTGAGAAATTTTTCTGCTATTATTTCACTAAAAAGGTCTTTAAAATTTTGTTCTTTTTAGATATGCAGGAAAGTGTGTTTTGGCATATTTGACATACATGACAGGAGAGTGTGTTTTGGCATATTTTACATACATGGAGTGTAATTTATTCTAAACAGGATCCTATTCTTGTATTTGTACATGATGCAGATGGAGTAGAGTAATTCTGATATGTGGATACTAAAAAGGTTTTCTATGTCTTCAACCTGTAGGTCTTTGACTCTGTCTATTCCAATTATACATGTTTGTTTTTTAATGGTATCCCATAGATATTATATGTTCTGTTTATTCTTTTCAATTATTTTTTCTTTATTACTGTCTGAATGTGATAATGCATCAACCTTGTCTTCCAGCCCTGTTATTCTTTCCTACACTTCATCTAGTCTATTGGCAAAGCTTTCAACTGAGTTTTTTATTTGATTTATTGAGCTCTTCAATTCCAAAATTTCTTGGTTTTGTTTTCAGAATCTCTCTTTGTTGAATTGCTCTTTCAGATCGTGCGTTGCTTCCTTGATTCATTCAACTGTTTATTTTTATCTCCTTTGAATTCACTGATCATTTTTATTAAATCATTATTTTGAATTCTTTGGCATTCATCTACATCAGTGTCTTTGGAATCAGTTACTAGAGTTACAAACTTTAGAGAAGAAGTCGTGTTGTCTTGTTTATCCATATTTCTTGTGTTCTGTGCTGAAATCTGTCTGTCTGTTGAGATGAATATCTCCTCCACACGTATGTGAAAGCCTCTTTAGGGAGCAACCTTCTCTTGATGATGTGCCCTGTGGTATCTGTTCATTGTGTAGTGCTAAGTTTTACTGGATTTCATAGTATATTTTTCCACTGGGTTCTTTGCTGTTATTAGAGCCTGAGTGAGCAGCTTTTTCTGTAGGTCTTCTAAGAGTGGGGGCCCTCTGGTAGTTCAGGCAGGTGCACTGTAGACAACAAAGTGTGTGGGGTGCACCCACTGTCCTTACTTCAGTCTTGTCAGCAATGTGTGGTCTGAAAGGATACGGGAGTGATCTATAATGAGAGATCTCTCATAGGTGTGGTGTGCACAACTTTAGTGTTATTTGTTGCTATGGGAGTAATGTCTAGGAGTGTGACTTCAGGCACCCCCAAGTCATTCCTTCTTGGTGCCAGTTCACTGGATAGGAGTTTATCTCCCTTATTAATTAAGTTGAATTAAATCCATCAAGATTTGTGATCCCTGGTTATAAATCATAGCTGCCCCTGCCTGACCATAGGTCTGGAATGATAACTCAGCCTGACTTTTATCAGAAGAGTTTGAACTCCTCCAAGTTTGAGAATCTTACTTAGCACCAGCATCTTTCCCAGCTTTTAAGAATTCATGGGTTAATCGTGTTAGGTTACATAAGATTGATGAATATTGGGCATCTCTTGACTAAATGTGAATAATGAATAAGAAAAAGACATGATCTCTGAACAAGGAGCATGCAGTATGATACTGAATCAAGGCAGGTGTCAGAGAAAGAACACTTCTTGGGCTGGGAATGTGAATCAAGCGGTAACGTGCTTGCCTGGCATGCACGGGGCACTGGGTTCCATCCTCAGCACCACATAAAAATAAAAAATACAAATGTTGTGTCCACTGAAAACTGAAAAAATAAAGATTAAAAAAACACTTCTTTTTGCTTAGACTTTTATCATTTTTATAAGCCCAAAGTAAAATTAGTTCTTTGGACTGTACTGAGAGACACTAGTACTAGATGGATCCCACTGAGAATTGTAGCCAGAATTAGAATGTCTGTAGTTGGCTTAGTTCTGTCATGGGAAAACTATGCCCTTCCAACATCCATATACCTTCCTATAACATCCTATCTTTCTTTAGGTGTGGAAAGTCCTAGGAAAATGCCAACAGATCCATAGTCCCCTTTGCCCCAATAGAAATTAAAAACTTCTGTAATTAAACATCTTCAAGAATTTCCAACATCCCCAGGACATTTTAGAAAGTTGGAGTTGGAAGCATCCCTAAGGAAACAGAGGAGATAAATGAGAGCAGAACACCACAGGCTATTGTAGGCAAGACAATAACAAAAGGTTGTGAACAGAGACCAGCATATGCATTTGTGAGGCTATAAGGAAAGATCTTCTAGGAAGAGAAGAAGAAATAATATTTCTCCTATGTGTTTGATTCTGTACTTTCATTTATAATAGTCCCTTTGGCCACTGTAGGTACCAAACCCTTTAATGCTCAAAACTTTGTATAAGATGTGTAGTATTTTCATATAACCTACACATTGCTCCCATATGCTTTAAATCATCTTAAATTATACTTAATACCATGGAACTGCTATGCAAATAGTTGTTGTTTGTACCATTTAAGAAATAATGACAAGAAAAATGTCTGTACATGTTCAATCTAGATGCAGTTTGGGGCAGGGGAATATTTTTGATCCATGGTTGGTTGAATCCACAGATGCAGAACCAGCAGATGTGGAAGTCCAATAGTATACCTTATGTCATTTCATTTTCTAATAGCTCCATAGATCGGTATTATAATTCTATTTTATAAAAAAAAGGAAACTGAAGCTTAAATAGTTCAGGTAATTTATTCAAAGACCCAGATAATAAAAAAGAATCAGGACTTGAAATGCAGGTCTCTGAAGGCACAAAAGGTCATGCCCACCCTGTTTTATACATGTGCATTTATGTTAACAAACACAGCATCTAGGAAGTTCCAGGTTCTGTTCTAAGGGCTTTCCAAATAATAATCCATGTAATACTCATATCCATGGTAGGAAATAAGTACCAGCACTATTCCCAGTTATCACATGAGGGACTTGGGCAGAAAGCTATATAAGCAGGCAAGATCACATTTCTGATGGCAGAGCCAGCTGCCTCCTCAGAGTCCACTCTTCCCATCATCCCTCCATGTATAGAGGGGCACTTACTGTGCACTTACTTCATGCCTCTTTTGAGGGCTTTAAACTTATTAACTCATTCAGTTCATGTAGTCAGGGAGCCTAGAAAGGGGGCTCTAAGATCAGGTAGCATGGTGACTAAAGTACAAGTGTAGGCTCCAGAGTCAGGCCCTGTCATTTGCTAGTTGCATGACCTCAGATAAGTCATTTAATCTCTTAGTGGCTATTTCCTTATCTGTAAAGGCAAAGTTATAACTGTTTCTACTTCACACGTTTATGGTAAGGATTGAGTTATTCATAAAGTGCTTAGTATGGCATCTGGCAAGTAGAAAATGCTGGAAATTTATTTCTTTAAGCATGGACACTTATACTTACAATGCGGGGATATGTAGTGTCCTCCTAAGATTCTGAAGCTGGTTCTTCATGGTGTCACAGTAAGATGTCCATCCTCTGCAAGGTCACTGCTAGTTCCAGGACTGGATGCTTGTGGGGAGTTATCACTTGGCAGGTCAGGCCTCACGAAGAAATTGGCTGCACATTGCTATTTTAGGTGGAAAGATGGTTGGCCCTAACCCCAAGAGAAAGCAGAAAGAAAGAAAGTATTAATTAGGAGGCTACAAGATGCCAGAGACAATTTGTCCACCCAAGAACAACAGAGAGCTCACCCTTGACAAGGAGCTCTGACTTGGTTATCCTTAAAACAGAGCCTTGACTGCCTCGCCATTCATCAGCTCCTCAAGGCTGTCTGACATGGACAGAGAGAATGACTGTAGAACCAAGATGACTGCTCAGCCTACAGGCCAAGGGTGCACTTGAGGGTGCTCCCCAGCAATCTGGAGACAGGAGGCCCAAGGAGAGGGAAGCTGATAAGCTGTGGGCTGATGTCCCAGGTGTGACCACACAGCACTTGCTCCTCCACCCTCCCTCCTTTTCAGAAAAGAGTGTTTGGCAGCCTGGGCTGCTGTCTTCCTTTGGAAAACACTAAAGCCTGATCCAGGGTAGGGGCTTCCTGGCTGCTGAAGGGAGATGAAGCAGAATATGGGAGTTCACCTAATGTGGTCAGAAGTAAAACCCAGCGATTCAAAATTTGTAGGCCAGATCTGTATTCATGTGTGCTGGTCCTCAGCCCTGGGAGGCCATGGCTGCTTAGCTCAGAATAGGTGCTGAGATGAGGAACTAACTGCATGGAGCTGGGGAAGGAGGCTATCTCCATCCTCAGTGATCCTCTTTTTCTTGTGCTGCCTCAGTCCTGCATATGTGATGAGCACTTGCATACATTGTTTCCTTTGTTGATAGATGTCATTTCCCCCATCTTATAGCTAAAAGAACTGTGGCCCAGAGGAGTCAAGTAAATTGCCCAGGGTGGCACAACAAGGAAATAGGTCTGGAAGGGCGGAGAGGTAGGGAGGGCTGGAACACACAGGAGTTCAATTTTGTCTTAATCATAGAGAAAAGAGGAGCTAATGGGCAGGGAAAAGTCAGACTTGCATTTTGAAGAGGACATTCTGGTTGCTGAGTGGTTTCCAAAGTCACTCAGCCAAGACAAAGGAAGAGGGCCAAAGTCCTATACTGACCAAAGAACCAATGTTGAAGTTCTTGAGAATTATCAGAAAAGGTGTGGTATTTTACTTGGAAGGTTTCTGACTTCAGAGAGCAACTAAGACTCTAAGAGTCTCAGAAGCTTTCAGATCTTCCAAAATCATTGTCCAGCATCCTTATAGCAAAGCTTCAGGTCCCTTGACCACAGAAGCCATGTATCTCATGAAGGACAGTGCCACTCTCCCCAAGTTTGGAAGGTCTGTGTTTTTAATACATTTAACATAATCTTTGTCAAAGTAAATTGAACTGGCAATAATAATCAATTTATGAGGAAAGAGTGAGAAAGTTAAGTGGAGAGCCTTACTAAGGGCCTGGCAAGTGGGCAACCTGACAATGCACTGATGCTGGGAGGTGAAGTGCATACATGGAGTCCTTCTTGGAAAGCAAGGAGAGAAATGCATAGATGCTAAGTCAAGCCAGAACAAATTATGTAGAGATTTTTCCTTGAGGAACTAGAAGATCCCAGATGGAACTCTGGGTATGACCATGGATATTTTATGGCTGAAGCTAAGAAGTTAGAAGAGAGTGACTCCCCTAATTTTCCAGAGAGGAATCAGTCTCTGGGACAGGCTGGGGACTCTGGTCATACTCCTTGGATGAATGAATGAGGCCACTTGATCTTGGTTGGAGACTCAACTCAACCGCATGCATTCCTACCCCAGGGCATTTCTCTCTCCCCTGTCACAGGAGAGAACTAGTTTACCAGGAACTCTTCACTACATCATCTGATTCAATGTGTTCTGAAGCATTTATCATTATCTGAAACATTCCTTTTTAATCCACTTATCTACATATCTATCATCAGTCTCATGGTCCCAAGAACAGAAGCTTTTCCATCTGTGGGAAGCCATGTTTCAGAGCCTATCCCAATGCCTGTTCTGACGGGCACTTTTTCTTGAAAGAAAGCCATAGGTGGATAAATCAGGAAACTGGAATTTTATAAATATGGTACAAATGTCACCAGTTGGCAAATAGAAAATCCAGGCAAATAGTTCATTCAGTGTTTATGCTATGAATCAACTAGGTAGAGTGATTTTTCATCACTTAATTATCTTAGAATATCTCCAGTACTGAAGCATGTGTATTTTTATAAAGCAAATGTAAGAAACAATATATTAATGTCAATGAAGTAATGTATACACATAATTCACTGACAAAATAAACTGTTTAAAATACTTTTTTTTTTACTAATATCATTGTGAAAAAAAGTCCCTAATGCTCAGCCAAAAGTGTGGAAAAAAGCAACTAAACATTTGTTGCTTTATTTTTAGAAACACAAAATTTAGCTTCTTCCTTGTTTTACTATGTTTCCAAAACAACTACTTGAAGGTTTCAGAACCAAATAATTTCAATAGAGCATTTTTTGAGCAGACAAGCATTATAAGATGTCAGTTTAAGATTCAGACCCAGCCTCAAAAACAAACAAACAAAACTATACCAAGAAGAGTATTCCAATTAGTCATATCCAGGGAATAATCAGAATAACTGAAGTCATGAGAAAGAGGTTAGGCTCAGGATGTCTCAGTCCTTCTCCTTCTGTGTTCATGGGCTCCTGCTAAATAAACACAGCCTAGTATGATCTTGACCTCATCACAGTTACCCTCAGCAGAGGCCCAAGTGCAAGTGGTGCTCATTAAAATCTGTTGGATCAAGATGCCAAGGGTAACTGCAGTTGCTTTCTGTTGGTCAAGCTGTCATTCAGCCAAGAAATGACACATTAGGAGGAGTCTGGCAAAACTGACAGCTCAGCAACAACCCCCACCCCAACCTTGACCTTTGTAACTTCATCAAGGTCCCTGAGTTACTTTACATGATACACACCTACTTAAGTGTGTCCAAATGGAGTTGTAATATGCTAGTCTGTGCTTTCTTTATTTTTCATTAGCAATTTGCTCTTACCCTGAGGCAAATAAGGGTAGAACTGGAATTCAAGAGAGAGAGAGAGAGAGAGAGAGCGCTTGTGGCTATCTGCCACAGTCCGGCTGCAGCAAAATAACCAGGGGGCGACGAGCAACTTGGGTACATTGATACAGCAGGAGTGGGAGCCGTTTATTGTAGGACAGGAGGGGTATATATACATTACACACAGCTTATCTTAATTAACATAAACTAGATACAGCAGTCAACCAATAAGGAATCTCCACACTTAATGGCTCGCTGGCGTTACTTCACAAACCACTCCCTCTGGCAAAATGCCAGGCGCTGTCTTGACTTGTTTACAGACCTTAACAGCTATCTCAATATTTCATTGCTTCTCCCTCCTGCTGACTGTCTTTGACTAGAAGTGAGAATGGGCAAAAGGGAAGGTAAGATTATCTCACTGCCCAAACAGGGTAAACAAAGGAGTTTCTTGAAAAATGGCCAAAGTTCTGGAATATCCAGGAGTCTTTGGATGGGAAACCAACATGGTGGTCTCTGTGCTATGTTGGTACAGAAGCTGTTTGGTGAATTAAACCATCTTTGGGTGCCTAATCTAATCATTCATCAAATCCATTAGATGGGGCTCCAGAATGGAACAGTGATGATCAGAGTTGTCCAAAACTCTACCTTCTATTAGGCCCTGGCTTTCCCATCTACCTAAGGGATGCCTTTCTCTCTTCTTCAGGATTCTGACTTGACAGATGAGTATTACATACTATTGGAGAAAATTTTTCTGAATATACTTTCACCTTAATTTATTCTCAAGTTCACATATATCAGAATATTATTTTGCTCATATGGTGTCTCCTACCATGAAAGATTTATGAGGGTCAACTTTCTTCATTCACATGTAGCTACAGATTAACACTACTATTTTTCTACTTTACAATCTTTCCAAACAATAATAGCTCTGAGTTCAGGGTGATGACCAACAGTCATGAATAGGTAGGACTAGACAAGTGTAGGTCTCAGCTCAGAGGACTGCTTCTTAACACATCTGATGACTTTGGGACTGACCCTGGAATCAAAGATCATTTATTAGTGGCTATTAATACTTTAATCCAGAACAAACTATGAAGATAGACACTGCCAAAGAGCCCTTTAAAGTAACTGGTAGGAGTGTCTGGCTTTTGGTAATGATGAATTGAATTTGTTAAGCAAAACTTCTTGAAGATAATACATGTAAAGTCTGGACAAAATATTTTTAAAACTATTTGAAGGCATTGGAAAATGACCAAAAAATGCATGGAAACCAGAGGAGACTTACCCTTAAAAGATCACAAGTACAATGGATAAAAATAGCAGAGTGGTGGCTGTTTTAGTCTGAAGGCGGTACCCAATTCCCATAGTTTCAGTGGCAGAAAACCACAGTCTTATTGGTTTGAGGTGAGAAAGAAAGAAGTTTGTGGCCAACAAAAGCCAGAAATTTAGTGGGAGGAAAAAATGCTGAAAGTAATGAGCCAGGAAATGGTGAAGCCCAAAATGTGAGTGTAAACTCTGACCAAATCCCTACTGACTGCTAGTCTATACATGCACCAGGAAAATCCCAAAGTCTTCTGTAAAAAACAAAAAGGCAGACGTCCAGCAAGAAGTCTTCATTCTACACTTGAAGGACACCTGTCTGAGGTATATTTGTGAGTTTGCTAGGGGGTTTTGTTTTGTTTTATTTTTTGATTGAGTACTTTCCCAGCACCCTTCCTATGTGAGAAAATAGAGTTCTAGGCAGACAACAGCATGAGAATCGTAAAATCTGAGTGCAAATCCTCCCCAGATCTTAGGCTGACCACTAAACTACCAAGGCTGAGAAAAGACATCTAGGTATCAGGATAAGAGTTAAAAGAACTGAACTGAAATATCAGATGCTTCAAAGTATAGGGTGAAACAGTTTGAGTCAACAAGTTTACAGTTTGCTAGAACTACAACTAGGAGTAAGATAACACTAACACTGGTCCTTAGAAGAGCGTGACACATTATAGGGTTGCAACAATGTACCATTCAGTTGTCCAGTTTTCAACTAAAAAAATATTTAGACCTGCAAGAAACAAGAGA